TTAGAGAAACATATGCCCCGATTGCTAGATTAGAAACAATTAGAATCTTATTAGCCTATACTTGTACCCACAACATCAAGCTCTATCAAATGGATGTCAAGAGTGCATTTCTCAATGGTTACATCAATGAAGAAGTATATGTTGAGCAACCTCCCGGTTTTAAAGACGACAAGAAGCCCGATCATGTGTACAAGTTGAAGAAGGCATTGTATGGCTTGAAGCAAGCACCTAGAGCATGGTATGAGAGATTGATGGACTTCCTACTCTCTAAAGGGTTCATGATGGGCAAGGTTTACACCACTCTTTTCACTAAGAAGATTGGTAAAGACTTATTTGTGTTGCAAATCTATGTTGATAGCATCATATTTGGATCACCCAATTAAGACTTTTGTGAAGAATTTAGAAAGATGATGGCTAATGAGTTTGAAATGTCCATGATTGGAGAGTTAAGTTACTTTCTCGGTCTTCAAATCAAGCAATTGAAGAATGGTACATTCGTGAGTCAAGGCAAGTACATCAAAGACATACTCAAGAAATTTGGCATGAGTGATAGCAAAGTCATTAGCACATCAATGGGGACAAATGACAATTTGGATAGTGATGCAAGTGGCAATATGTTGGATCAAAAATTTTATCGGTCTATGATTGGAAGCCTACTCTATGTGACCGCATCAAGGTCAGATATCATGTTTAGTGTATGCATGTGTGCAAGATTTCAAGCCTCACCAAGAGAAAGTCATTTGAAGACTACAAAGAGAATATTGAGGTACTTGAAGCATACACAAAATGTTGGTTTGTAGTATCCTAAAGGAGCAAAGTTTAAGCTAGTTGGTTACTCCGACTCGGATTATGCGGGATGCAAGGTTGAAAGAAAGAGCACCTCAGGCACATGTCAATTGTTGGGAAGATCACTAGTTTCATGGTGATCAAAGAAGCAAAATAGAATTGCATTATCAACCGTCGAAGCCGAATACATATCCACCGGTAGTTGTTGTGCACAAATACTTTGGATGAATGACACCTTGAATGACTTTGGAATCAAGTTCAAGAAAGTGCCATTGCTATGTGACAATAAGAGTGCAGTCAAGTTAATCAACAACCCGGTTCAACATGGAAGAACAAAGCACATTGATGTCCGCCATCATTTCATAAGAGATCACCAACAAAAAGGGGTCATTTGCATTGAGAGTGTGGGCACCGAAGATCAACTTGCCGATATATTCACCAAGCCATTAGATGAGAAGAGTTTTTGCAAGCTAAGGAATAAGTTGAACATATTGGATTTCTCAAATATGTGTTGATGCACCCCCCACTTATATGACATGCCTCTCCTTTGAGCAATCCAAGGTAAAAGTTGATTGGCATGGCATACATCCTTACTAAGGACATATTTAGTGTATCTAATCATGTTTCACATTTAATAGGCTCATTCATAAAAATCAAATGATTTTGATGTTTGTATGGTACCACTATTGCTTCTATGTTTAATTTGGTCTAGTGATAGCATATGACATGTTCGTGGGCTTATAAACCTAGTGTTTGATCTAGAAAATAAGCTATAATTGTTTAACTCAACATGGTATATGATAACCCTTATTTGAAGGTGTGAAGAAGCTTGTCCTTAGATCAAACCGCGTTAAATATCTTTGGCAAGCGATCTAGATTGGACCAAATTTGGGAAAATAATCCTCACCCCATTGATTGACATTGATAATCTAAGCCTATTTAAAATTAAACCTTTGTGGTCATTGATGATAAAGGGGGAGAAATAATGTACAAAGATAATAAAAAGATAACAAAGGGATAGTGAAAAGATAACAAAAAGGGAGAAATTGAAAAATTGACATAGGGGGGGAGATATGACAAAGTAAGGGATAAATTAAAATTTTGAGCACACAAGTAGGGGGAGCAAGCTCATAAACTTGATGGATGCATTTGAATGTGCATTTAATATGTTTGCTTGCATGGCACAAGTTTTAAATTTCAATATTTATGCTTGCGTGGTATATGCTAGTTATAGCATTGAATGATAAAATAAAAAACTAGCATGCATAGGTTAAGAAACTAGACTTATGTTCATTTTATGGAAACTAGATCCTTGCTTCTAATGTTGATCTCATGGGGTATTCTAGTTTTCGTGTATGTCTAGTTACTAATGGTGCTAAGGATGGTATATTGGTGCACTCCGATTAGTATCACGCTTCAAAGGTCCATCTTTTATACCTTATCATTATTTGGTAGACATTGTCTCCTATATTTTCTATCTAAGCATATTTGTAAGCTTCAATCCAAACTCTTAGCACATATGTAGGAAAAGCAATTGCTACCATGTAGGTTTTATGAAACTTGTCCATATCCTTTTACACATATTAAATATGCTTGGGCAAGCAAAATGGATTCAATCGAATTTCAATTCATATCTTTGTAAAATGGTTGTCATCAATTACCAAAAAGGGAAGATTGAAGGCTCTAGTTTGGTTTTGGCAAATTGATAAAACCCTATGTGCTAACCTAGTTTATCAAAGTGATTATGAGATAGGTGGCACATTCCAAGTGGTGAGCAAATGAAGATCGTGACATGATGGTGATGCCATGATGATGATTAAGTGCTTAGACTTGGAAAAGAAGAAAGAGAAAAATAAAAAGCTCAAGGCAAATATAAAATTGATAGGAGCTTTTTGGTTTAGTGATCGAGAAACTTAGCGAGTGTAATCACATTTAGGATCAATAGCCGTACTATTAAGAGGAATGAAACTCGTATCGAAATGCGGTTATCAAAGTGCCACTAGATGCTCTAACTCATTGCATATGCATTTAGGATCTAGTGGAAAGCTAACACCCTTGAAAATATTTGTGAAAATATGCTAACACACGTGCACAAGGTGATACACTTGGTGGTTGGCATATTTGATCAAGGGTGGTGAAGTTTCGGGTCAAAAGGAGCTATTTCGTATTGACTGGACTCTGCCTTGGGTAGTGACCGGACTCTGACCCTGCGTCCGGTTAGTGGTGCGCAGTGAAGGCCACCCTCGGTCCTTTGACCGAACGCTGAGAAGAAATAGGACCGGACGCATTGGGGGTGCATCCGGTCAGGTGATGACGTACACTGACGAAAGCATCTGAACAGGCCAGTAAGGATCAGACTCTGGTCCGTGTCCGATCGCCTATGATCGAACGTGTCCGGTCATGAAAAACCGGCTCTGGTGCCTTACTGGAAATGACCGGACTCCAGTAATGGAGCATCCGGTCACTTTGAGCAATGCATCCGGTAACACGTGGCGATCATCAGGCGACCGGACGCAGGGGTCCAGTGTCCGATCAACCTGACCGGCGTGTCTGACCAGCCCGTGTTTCACTGGACAGAGGAGCCAACGGCTCTATTCGTAGGGGCTTTCTATTTAAGCCCTATGGCCGGCTCAAGCTCTCTCTCTTGGCCATTTGCATTGACATTGCAACCTTGTGAGCTTAGCCAAAGTCCTTTCACTCATCTCCATTATTGATTCATCATCTTTGTGAGATTGGAAGAGAATCCAAGTGCATTGCTTGAATGATTGCATCTAGAGGCATTTGGTGTTTGTGTTTCGCTGCCGGATTCAGGTGTTAGTCTTGGTGGTTGCCGCCACCTAGACGGCTTGGAGAAGCGAGGATCGTCGAGCGGAGGTTGGTGATTGTCTCCGGCTCCGATCGCAGTGATTGTGAGGGGTCTTGTGCCTTCCCCGGCGGAGGGCCGAAAGGTAACTCTAGTGGATTGCTCGTGTCATTGTGTTACCTTACTTGTGAGTAGGTTCTTGCGGTGTCTAATTGTGTGGACGAGGTTCGTGCAACACCTCTTAGCCGCCGAATCACCAAGTGTTGGTCGACACAACGGAAACTAGTGTGCAGGGAAGCACGTGAAACTCGAGAGAAAAATTGATTGTCTCTTGCCCTTTGGTGTTCTCCCGGTGATTAAATTGGCATTCATCTTATGATTGGTTCACTCCTTTACGTGGCGGTATAATCACACTACTCTCTAATTTATATTTTCGCAAACTAGTTGTAGCAAGCTCTTTAATGTAGCTAGAATTGAGAGCTTACTTTGTAGTTTAAGTTCATCTAGTGGAGCTCTTTAGTGTAGCAAGTGTGAGAGCTCTTAGTGAGTAGTGACTTAGCAAATTGTGTGTCTAGTGATCATAGTTACTAGAATTATTGGATATGTGGCTTGCAACTCTTGTAGAGCTAGAGCAAGTTCGCATTTCGCTATTTGTCATACTAATCTAATTGCTATAGTTGGTTTGTAGATTTTTAAATAGGCTATTCACCCCACCTCTATCCATATTAGGATCTTTCACCGGTGCTCGCACTGTTTTGGTCAGGGTGCTCGTTGTCGATGGGATGACGCGCCGGTGTCCAGCGCAGAGCGCCACCGCCCCACTCGGTCGTATGTGGCCACACCGTTGCAGTGCTCCCCTACTTCAACCGTCAGTATGGTGTGCATCACGGTGAGCTACTGATGCTTCTCCGCTATCTCTACCTTGCCGTGAGGGCGTAGGCTCGCCGGAACAGTAGCACCGCCGCCGCGGATAGCCGCTTGCCGCTGCAGCCCGCGATAGTGCGCCTCCGAGTCTCTAACTACCACCCGTCCTTACGCGGTTAGCTGTAGATGGAGGTTTAATTTAGTGGAATGACTTTATTCTTCTAGTAATACTAATTATTAGCTTGTGAGGAATAATGTGACGATGGATCAACCTATTTCGTTCTACAGACTAAACAAAAAAATTAAGTGAAAAGATAGTGAAACTCTCATTCCTCGAACCAAATACTACCCTATAGTAAACCAAATAGAACCTCAAGAAACAAGAATTCATTCCTAAAAGTACACTCGTGTAGAATTAAGGTTCCCAAAGGGAACACATCTTAGCTCTACGAAACATTGGGTGGGGAAAAGCGTTCCCTTTGCGGGCTTCACTTGTTACTTCGCATGAAATGGTTCGATTCTCTCTGGACGGTGATTTTTCTTTCAGGCAAGCCACTCCTACGCTGCAGCAGCGTTTTGTCCGCCGACGCTTTTCGCTGACCAGCCGACAAGTTACGTCCCGATGGGAACGTGGAAAAGCAGCCCCGGTCCTCCCGGTCCCAAAGGCTGCCGCGCCCTGACGCAAAGCGCCGCAGCGATCAGCCACAGGCGCCGTGTCGCTCCCATGTCCCCGCGACACGACGTGCTGCCGGTCGGCTTGCCTGTGTCGCCTCGCGCTCCTTGCCCAGTTGCCCTGCTGCCGGCTGCCGCTGCCCAGCCCGAAAACACGCTTCGGCGCCGGGCCAGGGTTAGGCCCTGCGCGGCCGACGAGGCAAAAGGCGTCGAAACCCTTCCCCTACGCGGAAGCCCCGTTTCCACCGCGCGCCAGGGGCCAAAACAGCCGTCGTCGCGCACGGAGGCCAGTCTCAGTAGGGACTTCACGGTGCTGTTACCAATGCAACTATATTTTGGAAATAGTGCAGAAGAGTTTCATCCCTATAAAACTCTCTCTACTCTTATAAAACTCTTATCATCTCTCTTCATTAATATGGTGCTATATCAACCTATTTAATGTCAAACCCATTGACGCTGGCCTGACGCCACCCAGCCGAGCCACCCCGAACAAAAAGGAAGCGGCGCGCGGCCCGAGCGCTGCGCAGTCACTGCGCCAGCATGTCGTGGTCGCCCGCCCCCTGGGGTTTCCCGCCCGCTTGATCTATAGATGTCCCTTTTGAAAACCCCGGCCCGCGACGCTTCCGCTTCCACATCCGGACGAGACGATCGCCTAGGGCGCGTTTGGTTTCCGGATGAATGAAGCCTGGCTTAGCACATGCAGCTTCTCTTGTTTGGTTATCGTTTCTGTCTAGCCAAGTCACGGAGAGACGCTGTTTGGTAGCTCCCCTGTCCCGCACCACTGCTCTCTCATTCGGTACCTCACGCTCAAGTGCGCTGCACCACGGCAGCCTGGCCCGATAGAAACGAGAAAATTTCTCGTATCCACAGAGCCAACTTCGGGCGTCCGTTTTGCATGGCCTGGGACAGGCCCAGTGGCTAGCGCAGCCAACCAATCATGCGCTAGCTGCACGCGAGGAGCCTGGTTGGGCTGCATCCAGGAAACCAAACGCGCCCCTAGCGCGCTACGAGCGTTTTACAGCAACCCAACTCGCTGGTCCGTTCAGTTTCTTGGGGGCGGAGACATGGTGGTGACGGACGACGACGGAGAGGGGGAGCGCTCGACGCCGGGCCGGCGCCGGCGCTGCGGAAGAAGGAGCGGGGCTGGAGCCACAGCGAGGCCGAGCGCAAGCGGCGGCAGCGGATCAACGCCCACCTCGCCACGCTCCGCACCCTCGTCCCCTCCGCATCCCGGGTACGTGCGTGCGTTACACTTTCACACGAGAGACAAGCGATCGAAGCAGCGTGGCTCCCTTGCGAATGATGCATGGCCGCTCTCTCCTGAATCCTGATGGGGTGCACGGTGGCTGACCCGCGCTCGTGCAGATGGACAAGGCGGCGTTGCTGGGCGAGGTGGTGCGGCACGTGCGGAAGCTGCGCGCGAAGGCGAGCGACGCGGCGGCGGGGGTCGGCCCCGGTGTCATCCCGGGGGAGGGCGACGAGGTGGGCGCCGAGGAGGAGGAGGACGACTACTGGCGGCGGCACGGTGGTCACTTCGGCGCCGATGACGACGACAACCTGCCGCCGCCGCGGCGCGTCGTCAGGGCGTGGGTGTGCTGCGACGACCGCCCGGGGCTCCTGTCCGACCTGGGCCGCGCCGTCCGCTCCGTCAGGAACGCGCGCCCCGTCCGCGTGGAGGTCGCCACCGTCGGCGGGAGGACCCGCAGCGTCCTGGAGCTGGACGTCCGCGGCGACGGCTACGACGACAACGCAACCGCCGCCGCGGGCAACGGGAGGGCGGTGGCGCTGTCCACGCTGCGCGCGGCGATGCGCGCCGTGCTGCTCAACCGGGACGACCACGTCGTCGCCGCCGCCGGGGAGGGATACAAGCGGCCACGCTTCTCCGCGCAGATCGCCAAGGTGCAGTGATCGAACGCCGTGCTAGCTGAGCTGCTAGGCGGTGGCAATATGAAGCGAGCAACGCCGTGCTGAGCTGCTGATGCATTGATCGTATTCGTACAACTGCTTCCAAACTTGTTCGTGCTAATCTAATTTTACGTGTGATTTCAATATAGTTGATCTTGCACTTGAAAAGTATAGTACGTATGATCATCGGACTTGTCAGGGTATACTGTTGGCGATGGTGCAATAATTTAGGGCAAGGTGTGGTGGAACTGCCGGCATGCAGGTTGCAAGTTGCAACGCTGCACTCATGGGCCGGAGGACCGGAGCTAGCTAGGTTTTGACATTTTGTAGGGGCCGAGTATTCGGAGGCTTTTATCTGTGTACCCTTAAAAAATATGCCACACTCCTACGTATCCTTTAAAAGTTGGTCGTCACATACATGTCCTCGCTCGAACTTTTCTTTTTCCTCACGCCATTTCGTCGGCATTTGCTCCTAACGGTGGGTAACGGCTTTGGAGAATGACTCAGTTGCCCTTAGGCTTGTATGGGCGTCTGAACTTTTTCGTTTCCCTTGTGCCATTGCCAGGCCAATTGGCTTTGGCGCCAGAGACGCCGCTGTTGGCGCCAAAGGACAGGGATTTGGCGCCAAAGAGCCTGCCCTTCTCCTCCTATATATTGGCGCCAAAGGCCAGGGAGTTGCCACTCTCTTAAGCCCTCTCTCTTTGACAGCCATGTCACAAGGTAGTAGCAGCTATGGTGGTGCGCTAAGGCGGCGTGTGCTTTGCCCAAACTGCAATGTGCTCGCCAATCGCTTCATCTCGACGACCAGGGCCAACCCCAACCGGGCCTTTCACAAGTGCCCTTATTTCGCGGTTTGTGCTTCTCTCTTTGGTCAACATTGTTTGTCTTTCCCTCTTTGCTCAGTTTCTATGTTGGATTTCATATTGGAGGATGTCAATATTATCAGTGGGAGGATGAGATGAGGGAGACAGCTACACCAATCCAAGCAGTTCCACTGCAGACAGTGGCAGCACCTGGTGGTTTTCCCACAGCTCCTCCTCTGGCCATCTTGCAGGAAGGTTCCCAGGCAGCTGTAGTTGAAGGCCATGCACCAATGGACAAGAGGGTGCAGCAGCAGCTTAGGAGGATTGAAAAACTTGTGTATTTGTGCTTGGTGCTTGCTTTGTATGCTATTTTCAAGAAGTAGGCTGTTGTTGTGTGTGTGTGTGTGAGTTTTCATGGATGTATGGATCAATCAATGCATGAATGAATAGATGAATGAATGAATGCTTCTCATGGTTCATAACAACATTAAGACAAAGAAACTAATAGTTCACTCATCCATCACATAATTGGTAGCATAATGTGTTTCATCATCAACAGCATATGGTGTTTGATCACATCACTTACAGTTTACACATAGAAACTAAATTACTAGAGTTTGTCCACATCACTAACATGAACCATCAATTCAGACAAGGTTTTTCATGACAACCCCAAAAGAACATCAAAGTACCAAAAGATCATGCGTCAGGGCCAAAAAAAAACATCACAACACCAATAGAACATCACTAGAGTTTCTTACTGCAGCTTCTTTGGTGTCAACTTCTTCACTGCTCCCTTATTTCTTCTTGGTGTGCATTGTGGATCCATAGGCTCAAGTGGGAGGTCATCAACTGGCTAGCTGGGCTGGGTGTCCACTGTAATGGAGTCCTCATTGAAAGGAACCAGATGCACAGATAAGAGTGGGACTGGATCATTTGAACCAGTTCCAGACCTGACAGTCAACAGTATGCATTAGATTTCCACCTGGTTGAAATGAAAAGGATGAGGCAAAGAACAGGTACCTTGTAGACACACTAGTAGGAGCTGAGGTTGAACTAGTGGTGGCTGGTGCTGCACCCTTGTGTTTCTGTGAGGAGGTTGAAGAAGAGGATGACTTCCTCTTCCTTTTGTTATGGATGGCATTTGCCACTGCCTCATTGAATGGGAACTGCATCTGGGATGGCTAGGCCACCACAAGACTCCTCTCTGTGTTGCTTGTTGCAGCCTTCTTCAACCTCTTCTTTGGTGTGCCCATACAAAGGAAAATAGATTAGCTTCTATGTATGCAAAGCTATGTACATGCAAAGGTAGCTATATGCATAGGACAACAGATTATCTAGTTGTGGGCATCTACTACACATGCAACACACAATTGTCCCCTAAATCTCCCTGTCAAAAAGGTACTATCTACTGCAAGATATGGTCTACATCCCCTAAGAAATCCATCAACACATGCTTTCAGAGCAAAAAATAGCCTGTTAAACCTGACCTTATTATTGATGGTGTGATGATCAATGACAAGAACTGAACCAGGACTAGATTGTTCTAACTGGGCCTTAAACCTAAACAAATTGTGGAAACTCTTGCCCCAAGGCCCATAAAGTTGATCCATTGCAAGGTATTTACCTTTGTACACTTTCCTGTAGCTGATATGAACCTTATACAGATCCTTCAGCCTCCTTTGCAGCTCTTTTGCACCAACATTTCCATCCTCTTTCAACCAATCAATTACCTTGCTGCACACCCAAAACTGACTAAGTCCAACACATAATCCTTGTCTCCTAGTGCTCTGGCAGCCATTTCCATGCTCATGTGGGTTCACTTTCACCTGGAAAAAAAGTTGAAAAGAAACACATGTTAGCAGCTAGGTACATGCAAGGAAAACAGGTAGCAGTCAATACCACAAATTGAACTAACACATCACCTGAATGCCATGTCCATCAGCTGAAGTTGAGGCATGCAGTCTCCACGGGCATCCCTCATTCCTCGAGAGAGAACAATGCACCAGTATACCTCCTCAGATCACTCTTGTCAATTTCATAGTTGAACTCATGTTTAACAAAGCATGACTAGCTAAAGCAATCTTAAAAGAAGCCATATCTGGGTAGATAGTTCCCACTGTCATAGGAGGGTCATCTTTGTCATATTCAACATCAGGAAATTGAAATTGCTCAGGCTCCCTATCAGCAACTTCCTCATCAGAGGATCCATCTATTTCTACTTCCTCATCTTCCTCGTCACTGGTTTCATCATCCCTATCAGCAACTTCCTCATTAGAGGATTCATCTATTTCTTCTTCCCTTTCTTTACTCCCCCCTTGGCTCTGAGAACTGGTAGGAGGAGGTGGAGGGTGGTTGGGACCAAGATCAATATACAAGCCTTCATCATCAATCCCCATATGCTCATTCATTGGATTTGGGTTAGCCAGGAACTCAGGTTGGCTTGGTTTGGGTGGCTTAGACTTGGATGTTTGCCTTGGTTTGGGTGACTGAGACTTGGATGGCTGCCTTGCTTTGGGTGGCTGAGACATAGATGGCTGGCTTGGTTCTGCTATGCTTGGAGAAACAATTGAAGGAGTGAATGGAGGCTCAATAGATTTCCTTGGGCTACCAGACTCCCAATCAGGAAGCACAGGCTGAGTACCAGGACTATGATATGCAACAGTCAACAAGCATGTTCTGGTTGCCCTATTTTTTTCAAACATTGCTAGCATCTCTTGGTCATTGCGCACAGGTATGTGAACTTTACTATGCATGCACCAGTAAAACAATGTGGCTGCATCACCATAGCTAGGAGGATACTTGTCAACCAAATCTTCCATAAGCCCAGTTAACAAAGTTCTATCTGCATCAACCACTTCATTCACAGAAAACCACTTTGCACGACAATTGGGACCAACAATCCGCATTTCTAGGTTGTAACTACTGTTTGGGTCCATCCTACAGATGAACAAGGAGCACGTAATCAATAAACCCTAAACACGATTTGGTAGCGCAATACACTAATGCAATAAACACGATTTGGTAGCGCAATACACTAATGCAATCAACATCAATACAAGGAGGGGCGAAGTCAAGGAGGGAGGAGGAGCGGTACTCACTCTTCCCGGAACCAATCCGGCCTCTCGCCGGGTCCGTTCCATGGCATGCCTGCTCCGCCCGACCGTCTTGCTCCATGGGGCTAGGATTTCGAGGGTGGGCCGCCAACACCGACTGCTGCCATCTCCAGATCCGCCGCCGCTAGGGTTCGCCACCGCGTCCTCCCACGCTCGGGTGAGAGAGTGAGGAACGAGAATGGGGACAGACTAAGAGAGAGGCCCGGGTGAGACTGAAGGAGATGCGGCCCAATATGTCAGTGACCTAGAGGGCAAGGAGGATATTTTTCTAGCCCGGTCCCACATGTCAGAGCCGTCAAACGACCAAAACCTAACAGAATGCCGACGGAATGGCGTGAGGGAAAAGAAAAGTTCGAGCGAGGGCATGTAGGTGACGACCAACTTTTGAGGGGTACGCAGGAGTGTGACATCTTTTTTAAGGGTACACAGGTAAAAGCCTCGAGTATTTGAGCCTTTCCTTTCTCCTCTATAAAACAAGGAATTAGGAGTTTGATGAATATATTATGTAGTGTTCGAAAAAAGGCCCAGACGAGTCCTTGGTCCTTCATTTCATTTTTTTTTGAAACTCTTTCATTTCATTTCCTTAAAACTACATTGTTTATAGATGGCTTCCGCCCTCCGGCTCTTGGCACCATGCAATGGGTTATGTTTTAAGTTATTTCGGTAACTCCACAATTCCTTAACTTGTGCATAGCATAAAGGATTTTCAAGTTATCTCAAGTTAACTGAACAATTCTTTAATTTGTGCATAGAATAAAGAAATTGAGTTGCATTGCAATAGTTAAAATAAATCTACAGCCACACAACAAATGTCTACTCCACAGTCATGATCTATGCTATATCCACACCCATGAATACACCCAAAAATATAACACCATCAAAACGGATGCACCAGATTATTTCTTAGTCATTCTCTCTCATTACTCATCCAAATCCGACGGCTCATGTTTAGTGTGTCTGCCCTCCATCGCCCTCCCGCGGACCTCCCACGTGCATGCGCCTGCAGTCGCCCTCCCCATCCCCCCGACGAACATGGGACAGTCGCCACCGCTCCTTCCTAATCCACGCGCGATGCCCACCGTGG